TTGGTCCTTAGTTCGCTTACGCTACTCTAAGCCTAATGTTTACCCTCTGGATACACTCTACTTGATCCAAACTTCAACTGCATCCAATCACCGAACTTCAACTGCATCCAATCACTGGAATGACGATAGTATCGCAGCTGGTCGAGGAGTCATATTGACAACACTCCCACTCGACTCGACAGCCGATGATGCCATAATGCCAAGTTTGCTTCGGAGCGTACTGAACTGTGGGCCGGGAATTGGCTTCGTCATGAGGTCGGCCAGCATGTCAAGTGTTGACACATACTGTAGCACAACTTGGCCATCTTCCACCTTCTCGCGTACGAAGTGGTATCGTATGTCGATGTGCTTGGTGCGCTTGTGAAACTCGGGATTCTTGGCCAACGCTATCGAACCTTGATTGTCCTCGTAGATCTTGACCGCTTCGTCCTTTGCCATTTCTCCAAGCTCGCATAGGAAGGCCTTCAACCAAACTGCCTCTTGGGTAGCTTCCGATAGTGCCATGTACTCAGCTTCCGTTGAAGACAGCGCCACCGTTTTTTGTTTCTTGCTTCTCCAACTGATACACCCGCCGTTCATCATGAACGCGTAGCCACTTGTACTTCGGCGCGACTCAGTGTCGCCTGCCCAGTCTGCATCCGAATAGCCTGTAAGAGCATCGCCATCCGCCGTGAACTCGATGCCGTAGGTCTTCGTGCCTTGAATGTACCGAAATACCCGCTTTAGCGCTTGCCAATGTGTAGGACATGGATCTGCTGCAAATTGGCTGAGGACTCCCACTGCAGCGGCAAGGTCGGGACGCGTGCCAACCATAAGGTACATGAGGCAACCAACAGCACTTCGGTAGGGCACATTTGCCATTGTGTCGCTGTGATTGCACCCATCCTCGCACATGGACTTCGCCAATTTGAGTCCTGGATCTTGTGGTGTCTTGACTGGATTGCTGTTGTCCATGCCAAACTTAGTCAAAACGTCCTTGGCAAACTTGGTCTGACGCATCGATACCTTTCCACGTTCTTGATCGATTTCCATGCCAAGAAAGAAGTTGAGCTTACCCAAGTTGGTCATCTCAAATCGATCACTCAAGGCGTCCTTTACTGTATTGAGCATCTTGTCACTGCTGCTTGCAAGTACCAAGTCGTCCACATAGAGTGCGACGAAGATTATGGCTTCACCGTCGCGTTTCGTGTAGATGCAGTGGTCCGATTCACATTTCTTCAAATCAAGCTTCAGCATGAACTCGTCAATGGTCTTGTTCCACATGCGCGGCGATTGCTTCAGTCCGTACAGCGATCGATTGAGCTTGCACACGAGGTTGGTATTGCTGTCCTTGACGTAACCTTCAGGCTGAATCATGTAAATGTCTTCGTCCAGCTCACCATTGAGAAAAGCAGTCTTGACGTCCATCTGGTGCACGGTAAGATCATACTTCGCCGCAAGACTTAGCACGATTCGGATTGACGTGAACTTTGCCACAGGCGCGAATGTTTCTTCATAGTCAATACCGAACTTTTGCGAGAATCCTTTTGCAACCAGGCGTGCCTTGAACCGCTCAATTTGTCCATCCTTGTTTTCTTTGACACGAAATACCCATCTGCAGCCGATTGCTTTGCGACCTTTGGGAAGCTGAACAAGATCCCATGTCTTGTTCTTGAGCAGCGAGTTGATTTCGGAGTCGCACGCTTCTTCCCATTTCACAGAGTTGATGGATTCCATCGCCGACCTGTGCGTGGTCGGCATTTCTCCAACTGAATCCACAACGAATGCCGCCTCAAAATCTCCTTCAGCAATTGCCGACATGTTTTGTCGCTTCGAACTCGGAATTTCCGTTGCTTGATCAAGAGATTGTGTTCTTGGATGTCTTTTGTCGCCAGGCGCGAAGTCTGTCGTTTGGACGTTCTCAACGTCTTCATCTTCATTCATAGCGTCATCCGTATCGTCATGGTCCGTACTCACTTCCTCGTTGAGATCAGTGACCGCTTGTTCTTGGACAGATCTACCACCGTCGAAGACGTCTTCCATAGACTGCGCATCACGACTTACGGTGACGCGCCCACTTGATATGTCCTCAAAGCGGTAGGACTTGAGATGCTCCGCGTAGCCCAAAAAACGGCATAGTGAAGCCTTGGCATCTAATTTCGAGCGTTTCTCGTGCGGAATATGGACGTACGCATGACATCCAAATACCTTGAGGTTTGTCAGTACAGGCTTCTTCTTCGTCCAGACCTCATAAGGTGACTTTTCTTCACTTATGGCTCTTGTTGGGCATCGGTTTCGCAGAAACATTGCCGTCGTCACAGCTTCGCCCCAATATTTCTTGGGTAATCCAGCGTGCTCCAGCATGCAACGAGCACATTCCACGAGCGTCCGGTTCATTCGCTCCGCGACCCCATTCAGCTGTGGTGTGTACGGTGGCGTGTACTTTCGAACAATACCGTTCTTGGTACAAAACTTCGCCATGTCTCCAGCCGTGTACTCGCCGCCGTTGTCACAAATTAGCGTCTTGACGCGATTACCAGTTTGAGTCTCGGCAAGAGCAACAAACTCAGCAAACTTGGTGGTCACTTCGGACTTCTTCTTCATAAGGTACACCACGCAGTATCTTGACTTGTCGTCAATGAACGTGACGAAGTATCGTTTACCACTAAAAGTTAATCTTGACATAGGTCCACAGACGTCGCTGTGAATGACATCCAGAATCTTGGTTGAGCGTTTTGGTGCTGTCGATTGAAAACGCACGCGTGTTTGCTTACCAAGCGAACACCCATCACAAACATCCCAGTCTTCGACAGACGTTATGTTGATTCCAACACCAAGTTTCTTCTTCACGATGGTATCAAGTCCATCGTGGCCCAAATGACCAAGTCGAAGGTGCCAGAGGTACGACTTGGTGTCCCCATAACATCCCGACGACTTGACTGCATTGGCTTCATCTCCCAGAAGTGGCGTCATTTGAAGCTTGAAGAGACCTTTACCCTCACGAGCTCCGATCTTCCACTTCATGCTATTCGCTTCGGCAAAACAGCCATCCGTGTCGAATGTTACAGGACCGACGTCCTTAGTAAATCGACCGACCGAGAAAAGGTTGCGGGATAGCTTGGGAATGTGCCACACCTTCGTCAGTACACCCTTCTTGATACCCTTCGGGGTCTTCATTGACATCATTATGTCACCACATCCAATTGCTTGCACGACACCATCGTCTGCAAGGTGTACGTCAATTGGAGAGAAGAGCTTGTAGTTTGTCATGAACTTCTTGGAGCACGTCATGTGCTGCGTCGCTCCTGAGTCGACCAGCCACACTTCATCCGCGTTGTCGGTGCTTTTACTCCAGCTAACCGAAAATAGATAGTCGCCGTCATTGTCGTTCTGAGCGACGTTGGCGCGATGCGATCGGTATTGTTCCGTGTTGTCTTGGCCTCGCGAAGGACACTCCGCGATCCAATGACCCATTTTGCCGCAATTATGGCACGCCCCAGTCTTCTTCACCGGTCGCCCTTTGTTGCGCTTGTTGTCTCTTGTCATAAACGCTTGGCCATGGGTAGCTCCGTCGACGCTACCACTTTGTTCCTTGCGTTTCATGTCCTCATGAAGAAGCCTAGACGACACTAGCTCCCACGTCAACGTATCAGCTCTCGATTCCAACGCAGTGATGAGGAACTGGTACGATTCGCTGAGACTTCCAAGCAGCGTGATTACCAGGTCGTCAGCACTGACCAGAGCGCCGACTGCTTCGAGCTGCTCTGCCAGAGTCTTTACCTTATTGATGTGTTCCATCACATCGTCCCCTTCTTCCATCGTGACTGTGAAGAGACGACGACGAAGGAAGAGCTTATTCGCCAAGCTCTTCTTCTCGAAGTGGTCTTCAAGTCTTGACCATGCATTATGCGCATCACTTGCAGAGCGGACGAGCGGCAGTTGCGAATCTTCCATAGCCAAGCAGATAGCTGCCATGGCCTTGCGAGACTTCCTCTTGAACGACGCTTGGTCCATCGTGTTCGCCAAGTCACCAATCTTCACTTCCCCAGAGACGACCTCCCACAGGTCACGCTCCTCGAGCACCATCTGCATCTTGAACTTCCAGGCGTGGAAGTTGGTTCCATCAAACTTGTTGATGCGATTCAGCGACGAGTGCTCCATAGCGAACGCGTAGTCGGCAGCAGAGGTTGAGGTGGCGGGGCTTGGGCTCATAACCTAAAGATCTTGGATAGGTTGGAAGTGCTTGATTGTTTTAATGCAAAACGCAAAGTGATTCATTTGGTCCTTAGTTCGCTTACGCTACTCTAAGCCTAATGTTTACCCTCTGGATACACTCTACTTGATCCAAACTTCAACTGCATCCAATCACCGAACTTCAACTGCATCCAATCACTGGAATGACGATAGTATCGCAGCTGGTCGAGGAGTCATATTGACAACAACAAACAGTTCTTCGTACTAGTGATGAGGGTCCTTAAAATTGAAAGCTTTTTCAAAGGGCACCAAAAAAAGTTGTGTGGGGACTTTACGACGATATCGAGAGTGGTGGGTCTTAGTGTGCCAGCATCTGCTGTTACTCGACGTGTATGTTCCGAATACTAGTGCGACGTTATCTTCACGTGACCGAGGCTTATATTCCTTACAGAAATGTGGATATAGTATTTACTGCAGACACGATCGTGGAATGAATTTACAAGTGAAAGACTTGACGCCTTTTATAGGCAAGTATTTATGTGGAATTGAGCCAAATTCTGAATGGTTTGTCACTAGGATGCTTGTTCATACTTGGTCTGTATAGGATGACCGACATCGATGGACACGGAATCACCGAGCGGCCACAGCAAAGAAATGATACAGCATCCCATTGAACTACATCATCCCAATACGTTAATGACACTTCATAGACGGCACAGTCGTGTCTCTGTAAATTTCTTGCTGAAGGAATACCGACTCGACCGACGTCCTTGATTACTAAGATACGACGAGAGAAATGGGATTGAGACCCATTTCATATATATATTTTAATAGTATTCGCGATACAACTTGAACAGTGTCAAGGAGAGACCGACAATTCCGACGACAATCCCTGCGACGAGCATGAGTAGTGGGCCCACATGCTCACGACTTAACATCGGACCACTCGACTGCAACAAGAAAAACAACGCTGGCATGATGAAAATCAACAGAGACCCTGATACGGAGCCCACGATACTCAGCGGAATCTTGGCAGAAGGCACAAAGATGCTGCAAGTCAGGATCAGCGCCAGGCTTACCACCGTGACCCCCACGTACTCTTTGTACGTCGCTTTGTGGCTGGGGGTCTGCACACCATTCTTCACACGTAAATACACGCTCAAAACGCATGAACGGAAGGGCCACATGGCAATTGGCGTGGTAAGAACTAGTGCCAGTGCCATGCACAATTGTCCAATCAGCAAAGGCACTGCCACTGACTTGTGCTGATTCACGTACTCTGGAGAAAAGTTGAGTAAAATGTTGTCCTTTGTGTCCGACCCGAATTGCAGATATCCGCAGAGCGAAATGACTTCGTAAAGCACAAATGCAATACTAATTGCACCACCGACAGCCCGATTCATTCTTGGTAACGTACGGTCCTTGAGCTCTTCATACACTGGCAATGCCGTGTTATGGCATGCAAATGCAGAGACCAAAAGTGTCACCGTGTAAACACTTCCCGGCTCCAGCCGAATTGCTTGCACCCCTGGAGCATCTACAGGTCCTTCAGTATTATACACAGCTAGGAATGCAACAGCAACAAATGCCACGACGTAGCCGATCGAAAGAATAGCAAGAATTGACGCTAGCCACAATTTGCCAATACGGCGGCTCAGTGACAGTGGAAATATTACTGTAGCAACCAGAGTTACCGCAATCATCCACTTGTCATGTGTTGAAACGGCCACGACAGCCGCACACAAGTCCGTGACAAAGATCAAATAGCTTACAAGGGTCCCGAATCCTCCAAAAATAAAGGTAAATTCTGCCAATCTGGTACCAAATGCACCCATAGTAAAGTGTCCAAGACTTTCGTACGTCTTGGCACAATTCTTCCCCGCGCAATCACTTGCGGATAACAACAAATGTACCGAATATCGTGTAATCATTGCAATAATCAGCATAATGACATTACCCAAGAGCCAACCACTCGATGCAATAGCAAATGGGACAGCAAGAGTCCCGGAGCCTAGTATTGTATTGGTTAATGTAAATGTGGACCCCCAGAGTGAACTAGCAGAGCGTTGCTGCTGCTGTTGTTGCTGTTGTTGTTGCTCCTTTGCTTCCGTTTTGTGCACATTAATGGCGTAGGATGGCTCAGGCAATAGATAGTCCGACTCCTTTGCAAAAGTCTGTATCTTGCCAGATGTAACGCGTGGACTGGCCACGTATTCGCCCATTGAAACAGAACGAGGGGCGCAGTCGCATTGATACTTGAGAGTATCGATAATGTCACGTGAACCACGTTTAACTGGTGAAAACGTGATACCGCACGTATGTACGACAGCGAGAACGGGCTGAACAAACGGATTACTCGAACGAGATAAAGGACCGGGTGCCATACGTAGTAGAATCGATATAAAATGATAATTGGCTCGAAAATACGTCGACCTTGTGCAAGTAAGAGCTAATGGAATTATGAGGTGTAGGTAGCGGGTGATATGCATCATGTAGCCATCAGTGCAATGAACCCAAAATAAAAACAACTTGGTAATTGTATACAAGGAGAGACCGTTTCTGTCGCTTCTACTAAAATTAAATGGAGATGGGCGTAAACACTTATTCTAAATAATAATCTCTAAAGGATTGTAGACGACTGTCCGATGGCATGACAATGGGAGAGAAATATATTATGGCTGAAAAAGAAACTGTAGTGCTGCAATTTAATTTTAATACAAGAAACAACAAGTAACAAGGAAACGGTGATAGAATATGTACGGCAGAGTGAATGTGTGTGGATATGTGTAATCTGCCAAACAGCCAATAAATACGCTTGGTCGTGTGACAAGCATGACAGTGCAATATAAAGCCATTTCATTCGCACCACGTCAGGACGTACGTGAGCAATGATTTGTATGGGTTTTAGCGAATGATCGCGTGAGATATTTTGTGAATTGACCAATTGAAAAGAGAGGCTGGATTTAACAATAACTGATAGAATACGTCATCCAATTACTAATGTGACGGCTAGATTAAAAATGACGACAACGGTGGAGAAACTAATCGTAAATATAAGCTATAACCACGTCGGAGCTCATGTGAAATTTCGTAGAATAGGAAGGAGCATAGAAGGCATGAGGTGACGCAATAGTGCTGAAATGGGCTATGCAAATTTGAACAAATGATATTATACGCACTGCATACTTGGATCTATCTGACCAGATCGAAGTAAAGTTTGTCGTCTCGTCTCACATTACAATATCCTATTGATAGTCGCAACTTGGCCTACCAAGACACTCAATCTTTCTAGCTGTGTTTCATTTTCTCGCTACGATTCGAAATTGTTTTTGTTCGACATGAATAGGAGGGATGTCCGTTTAATGTGCTGGCTAACCGTTCGACATTATACTATTGATCAATTCCCAAGCCATAAAGCCACTCATGTCGATCCGTATAGTATACGCCTTCATATTTTTTATTTTCTCATCTTGTAATATACATCCAATTTCTAAATATAATTTTTTATATCTTATTTTATCAGACTGACGTAGTAAAATTAAATATAGATAATGTTATTATTATTGTAGAAAGATCATTTATTATATTTGAAAGAGATGCTGTTGACATACAATTAATTATAGCGAATGTTTTTGACGACCATGAAGTCAAGCGACGCATCAAGCTTGTACTCCTTTTAGTTAATTATGCGTACTCCTCAATGCTGTAGCTTTGCATCTCTTTGTTTATGCGAACAGCAACAATGCAGGCGCGTGTGTAATCGAATCGATTGAAGCAAGCAATGATTAAAAGTGACAAGTTTCCATCTGGAATAAATGGAGCTGATTGATAGTCTCATTACGCTTATGTTTGGTCCATTACCCCAATATCAAAGAGATCATAAGTTCGTCATGTAAATATATCGCATTGAGGGTCATAAAAAGTAATAGTCTTCTTTTAAAATATATGAAAGAGTTTCTTGGAAGAGTAGCGATTGTGGCTCTTTGTATTATAATGATTAAGTCAAATCATGTATCTGCCACCTCTTCCAAAAGTCTGTATCATCAACTCATTGATTCAAAAGCCGAAAGGAAGATACTCTTACTAAATAATTTTTATGCTAATGAAGAGATGTAATCGTGAGTGAGAGATTCACATGAAGCCCTTGTCTCGTTTCGCTGGAACACAAATCGATGAAATTTCTCGACAAAGTTCATCTCGCTTCCATCGACCAGAACGGCAAAGTATAGTCGGAGAAAACTCGAGCCAGCACAGTTAATATGCGACTCAATCGACGACTGAACTTGGCAGCGACGTGCCGAATCAATTTGTTTTTGTAGAGATGAAAAAGTTTCGTGAACAGTTAACAGGTCCCCCGACAGACGTAACAACGTCTCATACAAAAGGTTAAAGTAGTAATGTCGTGGTGCGCTCGAGCCATTTTACAAGGCGATCTCTTCGCGAGTCAGACGAGTGGTGGGCATCAAGCCAACGCCTTCAGCAGTCATCACTACTGAACCGTATCACATCTTTATAGCGACCATCAACATCAGTACTAGCATTAGTTCAGTATCGGTATAAATGATACGGCCGACTGCTAGCTAGATCGATTCTAAGATGCGACTTTAGGAGTAAAAAGCGCTCATTACTCAATGAGAGCTGAGGTTTTGCAATGAATGAAGTCACGGCTGCTAAAGGTCTGATAACACACGTTACAGATGGGAAACAAGGGCCATTCTATTCATGCACTTGAATATTACGTCATAGTTGCGCATTGATAAGCCGATCCTAAACCTCTGATCATTTTGTAAGTGTTTGCCTTTCCTATGACGTGCCTAAGCTTTCGCACGCCTCGCAGACACGGATAGCATTTTCATATATGTACGTAAAAAACCGTGGAGCGAAGACAATGTGACGACAGCTTCGACTATATTCGTGGAGTGTGCCACGGTGATGCATTTCTCACACTAGGCTCATCCCCTTGGAGGCACAAATCCTATAATTACCCTCATGTTCTGCATTATTTCGGCGAGATCCTTTCGGTGGCTACTCAAAGTAAGCCAAGGTGATTCAAATCAGTCTCTGTTAAGCCTTCCATCTACTGCTAGAGACATTAGTCGACCCTGATCAGGGAATCTCAAAGGGATCAAAGGAGAGCACAGCCGAAACTTTTCGAGGTTTGAAGAAATTGAAATGTGGGTTTCATACGCGAGCGATATGAACGTTTCGTGAATGAGTGGAATTATTTGGACGAGGAAACGATTTATCCGAGTGGAGTCTCCATTGAAGCAATGCTGACTTCGACCATAGGACAGTCTTGCTCAGACGATAATATAAGGACCACCCCGGCTGTGAAAGAAACGAACATGGACATGTGTATTTCGGGTATGGGGCACACAGATGGTCTATTCTATAATCTGCCAGAGTCGTGGACATCTGCTTTTGAACGTGTAGCCGTAGAGACTGACAAGATCCAGGGGCTCCATGACAGAACGACAAAATTATGGAGCGTGTGGCATTTATCTAAACCGTCCACTCTATAGCTTTTAATGACTGACTGGTATCGCACGCCACAAAGTGTCTTGTAAATGCTTCTTCGTTCAGTGGTATCGCACGTACTCGCACGCCACAACATCTCGTTCAAGCAGATCTCTATAGAAATTTTATAGCTTTTCTGGCCATTACATCCGATACGAGCTGATGATATGAGGGCAATTTGCATCGTAAAGTTGTCAAGCGGTCGTTCATAGAGCAAGCCGTAGTTGTACCGACTTAACCAGGGTATCTAAACAAGAAGGTTACAGTTCCAGCATTTCAAGTCTGAAACCAAAAACCATGAAATCGATTTGTTTCATGTAATAGAATATAAGGAGTCCTTGGAGACCCGGCCTCTCTAAACTGTCTCATCGCCATCTGCTCGAATCTTAACGCTGACCCTATAGGCGTCAGTCCACTTCGACCGTTACGAGGCTGTCCTATACCCTGTTTGCCTCTTTGTTTGTTTGGAGGGGGGGGGGGGGGAGAGCTTTCTTATCCTATGCGTTCGCTGCCTTGGTAGGAAATGGAGATCATTACACAATCGGCTCACTGACAAAGACTCGATCTTCTCGACTGTTTCTTGTATCAAAGCGCTTCCTTTAGTCTCTCTCTCACCTCGAGTCCCATGGTCAAGGTCACAATGTCTATAAAGATGATTCTGGCCACGTGCTTCTTCGCTGCAACAGCTTTAGCTGAAAATGTCAACTTTCTCAACCTCTGCGATTACGAGATTCAATTGTTTCACAGTCAATCGGCCGCGGCCGTGTCTTTAGAAGCCAACATTCCTACTGGCGGCAAACATTCCTCGACCGTCACGGGTTCCGCGCACATGTTTCGCCATACGTCGAACCCGTCCTCAACTTTGTTTGAAATCTCAATTGCCGACTCGATTTTCTACGACATTAGCATCATTGTGACAAATCCGGGCTATTGTGATGACTACGACGTATGCAAGGGAAAAAATGGGACCAAGCCTGGTTTTAACGTCCCCATGTCAGTCGTACCGACGAGTAATGGAAACAAGGACACGTGCTCGTCACTCTTTTGTGCTGGAGATGACAAGACTTTGTGTGCTGATGCGTACTTGTTTCCGATGGACAACACCAAGACACACAGTTGTCCATGTGGTACTTCATTTGACGTGACCTTTTGCCATGTCAATGGCGACAACAACAATGGGGGCCATGGCAACCACGAACAGCAGGAGCAGAAGGAGCTGCCTACGATACCGTCGGGTGCAAACCCAGACCAGCAGCCAAGTAAGTTGGTGGAAAATCCAATCCAGCAGGAGGGAGGAGATACGACGCTGCCAATGGACAATGTGGATAACGTTTCGAAAAAGAATCCACTCCAGAGCACAAATGGGGATGTTAGTCCAATTGTTCAGGATGATGTTTCGATTGTGGCGGGACCTATTGATGTCAGGGCAAAGTACACGTACTCTGGTGAGTGTGCCGGAAACGTTCCGGGTACGTACGATGCTGTGGTTGATCTACCTACATGCACCAAGAAATCAGTAGAGGTGAATTCGCGTGTTGGGCCTTTGGGAAGCAGCAGTGTGTCCTTGGTTTTACGTGGACCAATGTCTGTCCTGAACATTGCTGTGTTTACTAGCAATGGTGCCTATGATCCGTTAAAACGAGTATCTTCCTACTCGAGTGCCGAACAAACGACCGACAATTTGGTATTTATGAGCAATGTGGGCGTCGACTATAGTGGCAAGGGCCAATACGGGCCGCAGTCGTATGTTTCACCCGATGGCAAGAAGGCTACCACTATGGCAACGGTGTTTAATGGAATACTTGACGATGCTTCGGACCCGTCCACGGTTGGTGGTGGACCTAGTATCACAACGGCTACGGAGATTAATATCCTGGCTGGAGAGAAGTGCACTAAAGAGACCTGCGAAGGTTACTTTGGTGATAACGACCACGCGGGTTGGAAAGGCAGTCTAATGGTTTTTGTGACGGAAGTCATAATGTTCAAAGGACCAACTGTTGACAGACCTGCTCTTTGGATGCTCCCCGCTTCAGTTATGCACTCGGGTCAGTATGGTTGTAACTGCCGTGGCATGGGCCCCAAGGGTGGCTGTGGTGAGCTTGACATTGCTGAGGTAATTGAAACCAACCTTCAGGGTGACAAGTTGTCGACGCACCATTACTTCTTCAATGGTAAGGTTCTCTGCCCTGGCGGCGACAACTTTTTTGATCGCAAATACAACGAATCGACCACATTCATTACGATTATCGACGACGCGAACGCCATGATCAAGATCGTTGAAGTCGCTACGTTTGATTTCCATCTTTTGGAATTGGGCTCGCTGTACGATCAATTGTTGACATGCTAAACTGTCCTTGGGTTCCTGACGTAAGCGAGGCGCTCACGTTATTGCAGAAGGAGAGGATGCCGTCATACTCGCTGTAGTTGCCTATACACAAAGATAGCGGTGGGTTTTTCCTCAATATACGAGCCATTTTGATTCATAAGAGCCTCATGATTTGTCCGCAAGGTATTTTATCCAAGCTAAATGCCACGTAAACGGCAGCACAAAGGTCTCAAGCATCAAGGTAGTAAGTGTACTACCCATTTCCAATGACCACTTACGGTAGTAAATGTATTCCGCTTTATCGGGCCTCATCCAGCAAAATCTGCTCAACGATATGCAACTATGTCAACAAAGCTTATTGACTCACATATTGCCTAGGCTCATCAACGTAAACATACCTTGCTAATGTGCTGAATCAACTCCACGTCCACGCCAACACTGGACCCGGTGTCATCTTTAGATAATCGGGCATTGAACTGGCGAAAAAATCTGTTGAGCTCATCATAATCACGCTTGACTAGCTCGTACTGCTCAAAATACAATAGAAACGTCTTTAAGAACAGCAGTGCACACGCGTTGATTGCGTTCACCAACACTGTTTTCATTCCCGTTGTGTGTGGCTTTAGTAGCGAGTCCTCTTCTGCCAACAATTGGTCGAGTACGAAATCCATAGCAAGACACAAATGGCCTACGCCAGGGCTGCTATTCATGGATCGTGCCTCGCTGGGTGGAATCAACGCGAGCAAGGGCACAAGTTGCTCTTCATCCACACGTCGTACTCCATCAACAACTAGGACAACGTTACGGTCGGCTAATGAAGCGGTCCACTTGATTAGCAGCGAGCTCGCCAATTGCACAACGACCACTAGCTCAGTCTCCAGCTCTCGATGAAATTCTGCAAGCTTCCGTTTCTCATCGTCTTCCACGGCCTGCAAGTGATCATAAAGTAACGTCTGGTGCGCATACGTAAAGGCCGACGGCGATCGAGGTGATTGCGGTGATTTGGAAGTGCGACTTGCACCAAAGCCCATAATTGCTTGGCTCACCGATTTGTCGCGCTTTTCCTTCTGCATTCTCTCTGCACGTAATCGACCATTCTCGACTGATGAGCTGCCCAGCAGCACGCATGCACGCCAAAGCAGCTGACGACTATGCTCCATGAGAACGACACAATTTGTCGGAAACGCTTCGCGCCAACGCTTTCGTCGTGTCGCAGTTCCGCTCAAAGCATTCAGCAGCCGCAGCAATGCTTGGTGCTCTGCAATAGTAGCGGCTGTTAGACGCTGGCAAATGCCAGGTTCCACAGCCGAGAGCAATAGCGGTTCAGCACTCGACATAAAACCCCATACGTCCACGTCATCAGACGCAATACCTGTTAAATTTGCTTGTAGACGCACCAAGCCGCCCACAAAGTCGAGCACGAGGCACCACATTTGGTGCGCAATCGAGCGTTCCAAATTTTCCTTTTCTTTAGTATGGTCCGTCTCGTTACTATCACGTACTGACAGCTTGTAGCCACGCAATTTTGTAATAGCTTCTTCGCGCTCCATCTGAGTCTGCAGTAGCGGCAACAACTGTGTCGCAAGTATCGATATCAAACGAAGACGAGATGCTGGATAAGAGCTGCTCTTTCCCTTAAGCATAGTACGCTGACATAATTCAGAGTTCGTTGGGTTCCATACAACCGCAACTAGACCTCGGAGAGTCTGGCATGCCTCTTCTTGTTTCGCGGTCACTTCCTTGTCGTATTGTGAAAGACGGAAGCGTTGCACCAACAGGTGAAAGAGAGCACCTATTCCATGCTCTTCATGCTCCAGCTTTTTGACTAACGGATTCAGCTGCAGTACGTTATATGTGCGTAGCTTTATAATACTTGAAACGGAAGCATCGACACTGATAAAGCTGTCGAGAACTTCCTGAAACAGACACCGGCTTAGTTGAAACAGAGTTCGAGAAGACGTCATCAACTGCGGCTGATTATCATCACACGAAGCAATGACGTTCATGCACCGTCCAATTAACTTCATCTGCAAGAGGGACTTAGGTGGCGAAATACTTTCCAGCTCGACATTTTTGTTCGCGACATTTTTGTGGTTGTTAATCTTACTCAAGTGACGCATCAGCAGTAACGCCGCTGTGAAAAGTGACGTGAGCAATCCACCGGTTACTGATTCCACCCTCTGCGTGTAGTCCGTCACCAGGTGAGAAATTAATGGCATAAAAGTAAGCTTAATTGAAGGAGCAGACATGAGATGACTCTTGGCGCCAAGCCCCACGAGATCCACCTTGCACACAATTTGATCCATTGAATCGTGCACTGCACTAATTGCCTTCTCAACGACAGCTAATAACTCAAATGTTGCACCGGCATCACATGCAAAATTGGGCTCCGCGCTAGACCCATTAAGATGTTGTCGAGTCTGAGATAACTTGGGGTCACGTGTCTTGCGTACGACTAGACACAACTGATGCTGCAACATTGAAACCAGAAGCTGCACTAGATCGTGAAGATGTAGCAACACGAAGTAGTCAAGAACTTGGTCCTGATTTTCGTGCTGATTCACTCTTGCCTTGATAACGTCCGCAACGACTCGGATCATTTCGAATGATGTCCGATCACCAAAAATAAGTGAAGATGGTAGCGCAGGCGTACTTTCAGAGGTAGATGTAGAAGACGCAGATGCAGTTAATTGCTCTCTCGAAGTAGCACCCATACTCGGCGTACTATCCGTTCCGCTGTTGCGAGGAGGCGACAAGATCGTCGAATCTTTTCTTTTCGACTGCCGCAAGGTCGTCAATTCGCTTGACGTGTCAACATCAGGTGTACTATGAGCAGCTCCACTCGTTTGCAGGCAACACAGCTCCATCATAAATACCTTCCACTTGGATAAGAGAAAGAGCTGCGCGTGAAGATAGGCGGCCTGCAAATTACTCCACTGACCTAATTTCAACATGCGGACATCCGCTGGAGAAGCTTCCAGCCTGAAATCGCCACCTGCGCTGAGTTGCCATTTAAGTGTGCTAGTGTTACATATGAGACCTTCAATGTACATTGAAATACCACGAGCCGAAATATCACTGAGAAGGTTCGTTGTGAGCATGTTCAAATCGATAGACGACGCGTACAGCTCTAACTGTGCCGGCGAATAGTCCAAGTGAGTAAAAGTGCGTGACCAATGCGAAAAGAGCCCCTCCTTCCCGAAAGATTTCAGCACATCCACTAGCGGATGATCTTTTTGTTTTGAAACTTGATCGTGCCACTCGTATGACACTAACTGAAGAATTAGACTACGAGCCATATATCCGTACGCACTTGACCGCCCAATGTACACTTCCGACAAGTTAGACGGACTCTGCAAATTCCCCACTCCTTCAGCAGTGGCAGCAGCAAGTTCCATATCCAGAAGCCCACGTTCCTCTACCGAGTTTAATGACATATGAATCTTCAGGGCACGTGTCACATTTAACCAGAATGCGGGACGCGCACGCAGGGCTGTCATAATCTTAAGATGAATGACAAGACGGTGTTGAATCGCACCTTTCCATACCTGCACAAGGAACGCCAGTAAGGCGCAGAGAAGATCCGAGGCTTGCTCTAGGAGCCTTTCAGAAGACTCGAAAAAGCGTTCCAATAATGTCACGAAAGAAAACGGGTCTCCCTCCACCTTTTCTTTCGTGGTGTCTTCTGACTTGGAGCCTTCTGCCCTTTCTTCGCCGAAGAGTAGCAACGCCAAAAAGCCTGGCTGGTGCTCCAGACACAGTGTCAGGAATTCAATAACTTCTTTTCGCAATGCCGACTGGTGCGTCGATGATACTTGTAGTAGATGCGCAAATTTCCCACGAACAACATCAAGGTCTTGATATCCATGGAAAAGTGCAATCAGGGAGTGCATCGAAGAAAGGTTGCGACTCTCTCGTTCCTCATGGTAGTCTAGCGCAACAGCGGCATGCTGCAAAATCTGCAAGGACCAGTACACAATACCAGGCGCCTTTTCCAATGAATACTCTAGATATCCCCCGCAAAGTGTAACAATTGTTAGCAGATTGCGCTCTTTAGAACCGCCACCGTAAATTGGCGCCAGCAAAATCTTTCGCGCAGCCGGTGCATCCACCACGTTACTATGGCTCGTAATGAGAAACGCTACCAATCGCAAACACGTTGTCACTAGCGATTCAAGCTGCATCATGTTATCCCCATCTCTGTCAATTTCGCTCTTGTACTTCAATGGAAAGCGTTCCTTGTGACTTTCAACGTTAATGCTTGACACTTCGCTATCTTCATTGTTGTCAGCTAACGAATATCTGTTCCAGTGACCCCTGTGGCCTTTCATAGGCGACAGCACGGCACATGATGAACGTAACAGCTTTATAAGCAACGGCATGTCCGTGGCGAGTGTCCCACGCAAAGCAGACTTGAATGCTAGTACCATGTCATTGCGCTTCTGGGTGCATTTGCGAGGAAGCACCAGCACGTAGAGCAAGCGGAAGCATCGTTCCTTGACCTCACATCGATCGGTAGTGGTCACAAATTTCCAACCTTCGTGGGTTGACAATACTTCAATCGCAAATTCCGCTGCGCTGACATACCAAAGTCTTTCACTTGCAACAAATTCACGAGAAAATAACTTATCTTCGCTTTTGGAAAGATTTGCAAGCAATTGTACCTCTTTCGATAAAAACCACCGTACCACGCTCATAAAAATGTCTTGCGTTGCCAATACGACAGGGTACTCTCCTGTCAATCGCTCCTGCACCTCAAAAAATTTCTTAGCGCTTTTAACAATCAAGTTTATGCACTCTTCTTGCCCACCACCAAGTGAAGAATTCATCAACAGCTCCACCCCACTTGTGGTGGCTAAAATCGTCCGTAGAGCAATGAAAGAAGCCGCAACAAGATGCAGATGCATCGCAAAACCAGCGCTTTGACCTTTCATGGCGTCATTGTCAGTATCCCTTGAAAATTTATGCAAAAATCCGTCTAGCACTCCCAGTAATAGACGCAACAAATGAATGCCTCCATCCACACTATACGAAGTCATTGTACTCGTCGAATTAAGTGCCATCTTAGTGTTTCCGCTTCCGAGACTCTTCGTGTCTCCAATCTGCACCAAAATTTGTTCCCGTATGTAACGATCTCTGATTCTCCAGGACACCAAGTTTTCCCTTGATGCCAAAAGCAGAGTAGGAAGGGCAATTTTTTGCCTCAAGAGCTGAGATACGTACACTTCTGGTGAAGGAAGTTGATGAGCAACCCACCAATGACGCAGTCTCGCCTCGCCCCAACGGCGAGTCATCTCCTTCACCGCAAACTGTTCACCATCCTGGCCCTGACCTAGCTGCACGATAAATTCGAAAAATGACGTGAGAACATGCATATCTTCTGAGTTTGTGCGATGCAGATCTGCAAAAGAACCGGACTGAAGACCTGCCACAAATCTGTCCGCGTTTAGAAAAAGCAAATCCCACAAGGAAAACGCGTTCTTCCCTTCATTACTGTCCGAAAGTAGCCACTTCACCTGTACAACGTCACTAGAGCCCACGATCATACCGACAGTTCCTACAGGCACCACTAAACGCCCATCTGCATCGTCGTAAGCGAAAGCACGCGTGCATTGCAATTGATCAGGCTCGTCCTGAATCTCAGCAAAATACTCTGTCGGTGGCAATGGACGACAAAAAACACCAGTGGTCGTTTCTCCTTCTAGTCCAGCACGCGGCGAGCTAAAATACTTGAGTACCTGCCGAATCACACTTGGTGACGTATAATTTTGATCGTTGTAGCATAACGCCGTAAACATTTGAACGCAAGGCAGCAGACTGTGCGGCAAGTAAACCCGAGTTTTCGTCAGTAGGATGCGAAGCGCAGCTATTTCTCCGCTATTCATGATGTCCACCATGTTGCTCTCCTCCATGTCAATCCCAAGAATCTGTTTGGCTACACGAACGTTCGAAACAGCAGGCAGTACAAACTTTACCATCGCGTGCAGCTGTTGCACCCCATCAATGTTGTCCATGTAACCTAGTGACGACAGCATATCATTCAAAAACTCTGCTACCACGTCCTGATAGACAAATGCACTGTTAGAGCCGATCAGCTGCTGCGACAAAGTCGTGTTTGCACCACATAGGCCCGCAAAGGCAGGAACATTGGGTAATTCCCACAACGTCTTCGCATGAACGCTCATTGGCAGCAAAAATGGTTTCCGTTCCATCTTGCTGGAATCCGTTTTATCAATGGAAAATATTAACGAGCACAACAGTGAGTGTAAATAATAAAAGCTATGCAGTCGCTCTGCTGCCGCCAATGTCGTCTCCAACATACTCTTCAATTCCCTTATTTCTTCACTCTTCCGGTTACATTCTGTCATTTTACGGTATTGTCGACCCAGCACTGCAGCCCAAGCCAGCAACAGTACACCCGGCACCGACGACGTCACCAATTCACCACTTAAAAGTCCACTTGACTCTGTCAAAAAAAAGTTCTTTGTCACTTGTCGTAAATCTTCATAATCCAGTGTATCTTCAATATTATAAAGTAATTTCAGTGCCACTAGCACTCCAATCTGCGTCAATTTTCTTATCAATTGTTGTGCCTTAGGCATCGCCAGTGTATTGGCCGTAAAAACTTCATTTCGTATCCGAGTTTCCCAGTTTTGCACCGTCTTGGCAATCTTGACAGCACAATATAATGTCGTCTTTTTCTCTGTCGTCACCACAAGAGTCAGCAATAACAACTCTCGCAATAGTGTCTCCTCTTCCAGAAATTGCAATTCCCAAGCTTCCAGAGCTTTGTTTTCTGCTCGTCCAACCCCATTTATTACTGGTAAATCATAAAATTGTCGACTATGCATTTCATCCAATAAAACGTCCTGTAGTCCCTCTTTCAATAGCTCCTGGACAATCTCTTGAGCTGCTTGATTAGAGGGATGTTGAGCGTCTCTAGCGACGCGCAAAAGTTCAATACGAACTTCAAAATAAAGTCGTCTCATTGTAAAGAATTTTTGTCGTAAAGTTTCAATCGAAAGCGGCTTTTTCTCGTTTTTCTCCTCGTCTTGAAGCATCTCGAGAGCTTGTTGAAGCTCCTGCTGATCCGATTTCGACGGTAATTGGACGCTTCTTAGTAATAATGTCCAGTCATTCGTCTCGTCCTTGGTTGTGCCTGATTTATGCTCAAGAAGAGCGTTTTTGGAAGCAGAAAACAGCGTCAGAACTGACCTTTTAGACGTCGCAGGCAGAGTCACGCCGTCTGTGCTATCCATACATCCACCAAGAGGAATAACGCCATAGATGGAGTGAATAGACTCCAATACACGGTCTACAGACAACTCATCGCGACGACAGCGCCGTAGCCACGATAAAATGCTACGTGGAGACTCGGCCATGAAATGACTTGGATCTCTCTTTATAAGGAATGGCTCGTGTAGAGCTACATCGTAAGGTTACGTATAGCTACATATTATATTGGGGTCCACATCATACCTGTCTATTCCGATTACATGGTGTGATATCGTATATCACAAGCATCAATTCATTCTGCGATTCTTTCCAAGATTAAAGCTAAATTCTATTTCTTGCGTCACTTTGACGGTCGTTCTCGTCTCTTTTGCTTTGTTTTCGACACTTCTACTAGCCTCATTGTCTAGTGTTGTATTTCTTCTTTCGATCGCACTTATTTTCACGTTGTAATTCATCCTGAAGACGTCACAAAATTCCCGTGTCTTTTGGGACGTTCTTGGTCAAACTGCGTGGGAATTAAGCGGTGGATTTCTCGGTCAAATGGCTCAATTTACTCACGGTATTTCCGCACTAGACGTGACACCATCAGCTTCTCTTAGTGCACCCGTGTGGCTACTGGGACGTCGATTTAATGACGTGGCAGCTGCAGATTTTGACGCTTATAAACGGACGTTTGAATCGATTTTATGGTTTACATACCGTCGGGATTTCCCTCAAATGATACCTTATGAGTACACAAGTGATGCTGGATGGGGCTGTATGCTTCGTTCGGCCCAAATGTTATTGGGACAGGCTTTACAACGTCTTTTATTGGGTCGAGACTGGCATCTGCCTACTCTTTTTGAAACGGAACTTAGTGCCAAATTACCAGAGCTTTATATTCAATTATTGACATGGTTTAGTGATTCACCTAATTTGGTCTGTCGGTACTCAATCCACCAGATGGTCAAACTTGGGATGCAGTATGATAAGTTACCAGGAGAATGGTACGGACCAACAACAGCTGCTCAAGTATTGAGAGATTTAGTGAATTTACATCAATGTGAATTTGGTGGACCAATGGCAATGTATGTGCCTCAAGAAGGAGTTGTATATACTGATGATGTCACAAAACTTTGTGTCTCCCATTTGAAAGAAAAGAAAGAGGAGAAGAAGAAGACAGAGGAGGAGAAGAAGCTGCCAGAGTTTTTTGACCCGTTATTGCATCCACCAACGATGGAAGATAGCTGTAATTGGAGCACGGCGTTGCTCATTTTAATTCCGCTTCGACTTGGTCTTGATCATGTGAATGAACGTTACGTGCCGGCGTTGAAAAAAACGTTTACGTTCCCGCAAAGTGTGGGCATTATTGGCGGTAAACAGGGACATTCTGTTTACTTTGTCGGTACGCAGCAGGACCAACTACATTTGTTGGACCCTCATGACGTGCATCCGACGCCGGAACTAAACGCTGCGTTTCCCACAGCAGTAAGTTTTTGCTACAAGAATAGTGTGTATATTGTGCTGATAGCGTGCTGACCATGTATGAGATTCTCTTGATGTGGATTTGACATGTACAGACTCATCTGCGCACCGTCCACTCGTCGCGTCCGTTGGTTATGAGTGTGACTACTATCGATCCATCGTTAGCACTGGGGTTTTTGTGTCAAAATCGTGCCGATTATGAAGACTTTGAGCAGCGTGTACGTACTCTGCACGATGAAGTAAAGGCAAATGGTGGCATGTGTCCATTCTCAGTTGCCGCACGTCGGCCTGACTACGCAGCAAGTGGGGTGGATTTGCTGATGGCGGACTGCCTTTCAGGCGACGATACGAACGAGGACGAGTTCACAAATGCTGCTGACACCGGAGCGGATGATGAGGATGACTACGTACTACTTTAAATTGATAGTGGCCGATCGAGTCATTGCGAATGCTAAAGCCGCTTAGTTCTCCTGTATTGTAGCCGGCTTTCCGTATAAAGGCAAGACAGCTAAGCACCATCTACACGGGACTTACGCGTCAACAATATGCTCAATTGTTGTCGTCCTCCTGAGATTCAAGAGAATAACACTTGTTCGTATCGAAATTAGTGCTTCGACCTTTTCGATCCAACTCTTGAAGGAGGTAGGTTTTGTCGGGCGTATTTCTTGAAAACTTGCAACAGTTGTTGCCACCCGCACATTCGAACAGGAATTTGCGCAAGAACTTTTCTCAGCAATTACAGTTACTATCGATGGATTCGGACATGAGGTCTTTCAAACATCTCAGTGACACATTGTAGAATTTCTCGGCTACTTGGCAGTATGGAGAATAAAGACATTTGTAAGAGTGGTGTCACTGTATTCACTCCGCCTCCTTCTACGAGTTACCGCTACGTTATCGATCTGAAAGATAACAAATTGAAAATTTGGATGGAAGACTGCTCATCTAAGAAGCAATGGTATTGTGATTGTGTGTACTAGTTCCGAGACAAATGTCAATATGTCCGCGTTTGTTCGTAGGTGTAAGGGTGCTATGCTAAAGGAAGACTACGTGACGTCCGCAAATACAATTCCAAATGCCAGCCCAGCCGACTATGTCAAGGTAAAGTTTATTTGCAAGCGCTTAGTGATGACAATTGAAATTGACACAATCCACTGTGATTCTAGTGCTTTTACGACTGTCTTGACTGCAATCTGAACAACTCCTGCTCTGTACAAAGAACTTTAACCAAATTGATGGGGGACAAAGTACGGTTAGAATTGACGCTGACGATCTCATTTCTTCAATCCACTTGGGTGGCAAAATACAGCTTCGAGCTCGATCCTGTGGAGGTGGACCAAATTGATGTGGTAAAGTCGATGATGCGCGACCAGAATGATGAACTACAACGGCTTCGTAGTGAGCTAGATGCTGCTAAAGCGGTTCCATTTATTAAGCTCGAAGCAGACTGCATGGATCAAAACGATCGATTACGGTGGAATAAGGTTGACAGTGCTGAATTTGATGTGGATAATGAAAATGGTGTAATTAAGGCACGAATTCAGGGTGTTTACAGCATTAGAGGGGTCATCAACAGTTCACATAGCAATTACAATCATTCCGTCATGATCTTGAAGAATGATGAGTGCATTCAACGTAGCTACTGCGGATATTCCCAGGCACTATACTTCGTGTCTACACCACTCGACTGCGTCGCGCTGGTGAAGGAGGGCGATGCGTTGACGATCACTTGTGATTGCGCTTCTGTCAGCACGTCATATCTCTCAATCGTGGCTATTGTTCGCAACTAAAGAGAAGCACATTCACAATCGGAAATGAACTTTATAAGAATTTGGAGAAGGCAAACGTTAGCTTTGAATTACTTAGCAGTAATTGACGAAACAGATATCGTCAAATGTTTCTACTATTAAAGCAGCAAATAAACTCGAACACTGGAATGTCAAGACGCGTTTTTATGTGTAACATTGCCGCGAGGGCGTAAGATATGTTTGGTTGGGGTAACGCAACCCAACATATCCCTTCCGGAGGAAGGCTTGAGGTAGCATGATGCTAGCTGTAACGGGGCACGACGGGTGGATAGTTAAAACAGGCTTACACTTTAAATTTTCTCAATGTAGCCGCGTTATGTAATCGACATCCTATACCCTGGCATGATATCTCCATTCCAAGCAAATGCTTTACAGGACTTAAGTCCTTAGATTCAACCTTGCTCTGAAGCTGTACTAAAACCATCTCAATGTCGGACTCAGTTTCAACGATCAAAAGATTATCCACATATACGGTAATGTACTATTAGTTCCCTCCCACTGTTCGCACATATACACCTGCATCCACTTTTGTACGCCGAAAACCGCGCTTTTTCTGATACACATCCGCATTTTGTACCACCTACGAGATGCTTGTCGTACGTAAACCATATTGACTTTGTATCAGCTTACAAACTTAACTAGAACAATCATCAAAGTAATCGACTGTTCCATATAAACTTCCATATCATCGAGAGGCCCATTCAATATGCTGTCAAAAAATCAATATGGCGACAATGCAGGCCCAAGAACAGAGCTACAAGCAAAACAAATATCAACGACTCAGCCTTCGCTACGGAAGCGTAGGTCTCCCAAAAGCTGACAAAACCAAACTCTTGCTGACATTTCTTAATCGTGATTCGCGTGCGATATCGGCACACGTCACCTTGCGCATTTCGTTTTCGCACAAAAATGCACTTATTCTTTAGAATCTTTACTCCATAAGGCCGATCCACTAGCTCCCATACGATACAGATTTCGCATCAATTCGTGATACTCAATGTAGCGGAGCTGCACAGCTCTTTAGCCAGAGGAAGACTTTCGGCTGGAAGCCTCTTAGTTCGAGAGAACTAAATAGAGTTAAGGCTAAAAGCCACCTAGTTCTAAGGAACTAAGTAAACGACTGAAAGTAACCCTGTTCTAAGAAACTAAAAGAGAGACTTTAGTCAGTCAAGCAATAAGCTTAAGGTTCAGAGAACCAACGCACAGGGTGCAAGAACAAGCTAGAAGCTTAGAGGTTCAGAGAACCAACGCACGAAGTGCACAAGAGAACAAGTCAGAACGACTTGTGATCTTAAACTCAAAAGGAGAACTGATTTTATTTATGCTTTAAGATTTTATGAATAGTCCTACTCTAAGTACACTACACTAGATTAATTACTATAATAGTAATTATTATATGCAGACTTTGCTATTGGACGACGTATCGTCTAAACATCTGTGTATGATGTACTTAGTACAGCGTTATCGATTATCGAATCCTAATCGATAAGATACGGTATTACCGAATACCGTATCTCAACGCTTATACTTAATACCTCTCTAAAGAGAAGTATCATAATGCATTATATGCAATACAAGGGGAGTTTAACCGTAAACTCCCGGAAAGACGCTACAACCGTCGTGTAACCCCGTTACACCCTCCCCCACCAGACTGACGTTCCCATAGAATGTCACTCGACATTTTTCCTCTTAGAGGTAGTGCTTTAGCGAACGCTTAAAACCTCACGGTTTGTTCACGGCACAGAACATGACGCCTCCCGGCAGTGAGTCACAGACTCTTAGGGACCTCATTGGGGACGACCTTGAAGAAGCGGTTGATTACGAAAGTGACACCGTCTTTGTGGGACCCGATGGGTCACCCTCACGGGTGAAGATGACACTCGTCATGCACCGAATCCGTTCCCTGAACGTGGTGCAGCAGATGCGCTAACAGCGTTACGTGACCCGCCTGAGGTATCATCAACGGTAACGGTTACCAATCCACTCGACGAGCAGCAACAGCGGTCCATCGACCAAGAGGAAGGCGCCAAGCGCCGAACGAAGAACATGACGCGGCTGAAGGATCACCGACAGTACAGGTTCAAGCCACCTACGGTGGAAGAACGCCTAAAGGAAGCATCTGGGCATTCCCTTTCTGGTTGGACCATTGGGCCTGAGGCCATTTCGCCTGAGGATGTTGCCACACGCACGGCACTTCGACAACGATATCTGGAGCCCCATATCACTACTCAAAGCCAGTACTTGGCACGCCTTAATAGGCAAGTGCGCGGTGCGCCAGTTCCTCCGATGAAGGGTGTTCCCATCCTTCTGTTCGCGGGGGAAACCGAGGACGAAGAAGACACGGCTTTCAGCCGCTGGGCGCATTATGCGCGACGTTTAAGCAGCATGTGGGCCCTACGGGCAAGCGCCGATGTGGCAGATGGATATCTGCCACATATCCGACTTGAGCGGAAGATGCGTTATGATTACGCTAAATTGAAGGCCCAGGGAAAATTGAAATACCAACGAACGCATTATGCGCCTGCTGCCCAGCAGCCCAATGTTTTGGCTACCCCTGTAGCCGCGAGTTCACGACAGCCCGAGGCCGCTAACCCGCCTACCCTCACCATTACTGGTGAGAAGCGTCAGCGCCAACAGGCAGACCCTGCGCACGACGCTCAAAAACGTCCACGGCGTACGGGCAATCCTGCCGAAGGGGAGTCTCAAATTCCTATGAATTCCATGATTCGGGATAACCCCGCCATTTCACCAGATACTGGTTTTGACCATGGCGGCGACGCTTCTGCAGTAGACGCTCCACATGGAACTGCAGGTTCCCCTGAGCATCGAGCAAAGGAGGAGGAGGCCGGTGTATCGGTACAAGCTCATGCCGAGCTTGTTCAGGAGGTACGGTCCCTTCGTGAGGAGAGGCAGACGATGAACTCCCGGCTTGCGTCCCTGGAAGAGAGTCGGACCCGAATGCAGGGTCAGCTTGACATGTTGGCGCAGATGCTTCGTCCCGCGACAATGCCAATGGGCTCGGCGCGAGCGCCTTAATGTTTACTTGGGACGGATCCCGATAAGGTTTCAACATGGCGACATAGAACACAGGATGTGTACGCAATTTGCACGGCAAGTTAAGCGTATACGCTGTGCCTTTCTTGGCAATGACCTTAAAGGGTCCGATAAATCGTGGGCGCAACTTCGTCTTAAAGACAGCGGATACTACATTGGTAGGTAGATTTTTAGCATTTGATAATACTTGGTCTCCGACCTCATAATCATTAATACAACCTCTGCCTTTCGCATCTGCATATTCCTTTTGTTTATCTTGACTATCAGCCATTGCATCTTGCACATGTCGTAAGACATTCAGTCGCGTTGCGAGAAACGCATTTACCTGTTTCTTAACAGTATTAGGGCTGACATCAGCAAGCCGATCGGCAACCTCTCCCCCACCAAGCCCTGAACCACTCGGTGGTAGCGTTAACGGAACGCGTGGGTGTGTGAGACCATTGACATAGAACGGAGTGTAGCCGGTGGAGGCGTGCACGGAATTATTGAGTGCAAACTCAACTACAGGGAGCATAGAGCTCCAACGCTTAGGCGTTTCAGCACAAACGCTGCGTAGGATATCTTCAACAACGCGATTTACGCGTTCGGTTTGACCATCGGTCTGCGGATGATCCGCCGTGGACATGTCCAAACGGGTGCCCAGCACCTGGAAGACGGACTTCCAAAATTTACTCGTAAAACGAGGATCACGATCAGAAACAATTGCCACTGGCAAGCCATGTTGGCAAAACACCCGATCGATAAACAGCTCCGCTGTACCCACACCATCGATCGAATCTGGCACAGCCGCTAAGTGAGCCATCTTGCTCAAACGGTCAACAAAGACCGTTTGAGCAAGATGGCTCACTTAGACCACAATACCTGTATTGCCATGCGAATCTTTCGGTAGGCCAAATACAAAGTCCATACTAATGGACTCCCAGCACCCAGTGGGAATAGGCAAACTAGCCAGCGGCGCTGCCGAATGGGGCGAGGGTTTCACCCGCTGACACATTTCACACGTACGCACATATGTGCTCACCCATTTGTATAATTTGGGCCACCAATAACTTTGGCATACTGCCCCATAGGTCTTTTCACGACCCAAATGACCACCGATGGCGGTGTCATGTACCTTATAGAGGATACGATGTTTCAGGTCCTCGTCATGAGGAACTACAATACGCGGAGGATCCGCTACATCTGTACGATAGTACAACAGCCCCTCATCGATAGAATATCGATGGAGGCTTGCACGCAATCGTGCCGACAATTTAATGTCCGAGTCTTTAAACTCCTCACTGCCAAGAGCATGTAGCAACGCTATACAGTGATCATCTTTAGCATACGCCGTACGAATGAGATCGGTGATAGAAGACGACAACATCGTCACATGAGCAAGCTCATAATCAGGTCTGCGTGACAACGCATCAGCCAAAGCATTTTGCTTGCCCGGCTTATATTTCACCTCGAAGTTATATTCGGCAAAGAATGACAGCCATCTGGCCATTCTCTGCGAGAGATGCGGCGACTGAGTCGCAGTGCGTAACGACGCATGATCGGTATAGATCACAAAAGGCTTTGAGCCCAGCAGATGAACTCTGAATTTGACCAGGGCATACTTCATCGCAAGTAGCTCTTTGTCGTGAACTGGATAGTTCTTTTCTGCAGCTTTCAGCTGGCGGGATTCAAAAGCGATTACACGCTCACGGCCTTCATCATCTGATTGTAACAGAGCACTGCCAATGGCAAAATCCGATGCGTCACAGACGACGCTAAACGGTCGGTCAGGGTCTGGCAAAGCCAAAATAGGAGCATGTAGAAGGCTTGCCTTCACTGCTTGAAAAGCATTTTCGTGTTCGGCATGCCAACACCATTCCACATCCTTTTTAAGGAGATTGGATAACGGCCGAGCCATATAAGCGTAATTTTCGCTATACTTGTGTAAG